CTAGGGAGAGCTTTTGGGTTTAACACCTGTGAGAGGCAGGAAGAGAGGTGAGGTGGTGAAAGATAGCGGAGCTCTGGTGCGGTCTCACCTAAGGCCTCCGTCAGCCCAGGGTGACTCTGAGGCCTTCGGCATGGGACTGAATTGAGTGAGGAGGCCTGGCCTGTATGCAGGACGCAGGCTGCCCTGGAGGGGGGCTCTCTCTAGCCAGGAACGATTCCCAGAGGAAGCTGACAGCTGACGGCTGAAGGCCACATCCTTCACTGCAGCTAGGGAAGAGGCCTTCAGTCGTCACTGGAAATCTGGACAACACAAAACAAGGCCTTCTATAGTAACGAAAATATTAAGACTTTGAAATTGTAAGAGAGAAATGAAAATACTCAAAAAGAATGTCTCTGTTTTATTGTTGCCTTAATATGTGGTATGCATTGTGTCATTACAGAGGCCTTCTTATATAAAAAAGATACATCGAATTTTTTTTGTTGTTATTTGAATAAGCCTTTTTTATATTGGAAAGGGGAAGAAGTAATGTATTTAACGACATCCTGGTCGAGGTGCGTGTGAGAGAGAGATGAATAGATAAATAAGGTGACCACTTCGGGTTTCTGTGTCAGAATATTAACATATGTCTTGTCATTCACCTCGGCAACTCTTTTGTCAGGAAGGTTCTGTTGGTTGTCTCAGTCTACTGATAAGTAAACGGAATCAGAGAGGTTGAAGGACTTGTCCAAGATCGTACCGCGAGTCAGTCAGACAGCCACGGCTCAGCTAAGGCCGCCCCGAACAAAGCTCCTTTTGTGTGTTCTATCCGGCCTTGGTAGTCCTAATCTTAGTCTCTGAGCCTTAGCCTGAGAGTTTCTGGTTCAGATAACTTTCTGTCCCAGTTTTCACATGTTTTCTTATCTAGTTTTTGTCCTTCCAGACTTAGGGAATTTGACATTTAAACTTCCCATTGATGTCAGGTGATCCTTACCACAACCTTTGTTGTAAAAGGCAAGTATTTTCTTTCTTTCTTTCTTTTTTTTTTGAGAGGTTTTGCTACAGGGCACATGCGCTCACCAGAAAGACAGAAAGAGACAGAGAGATAGAAAGCGAGAAATCACCCCCCAAGGGGAGTGGCCACACCACAATCTCTTCTCCTCCATTCTCCTCTAGAGATCTTGGACACACATGCACACGTGCCTGGCGTGAGTTTAAGCCACCAAGTCCGGAACTCGAACCGTGATCGGTTACAAAGGAGTTCAACAACATACCCATTATGCTAACTGCTGGTCCCTCCTTTCTTTTTTTTTTCACGTTTTGCCATAGAGCTTGTGTGCTCACTGGAGAGATACACACAGAGAGAAAGTGAGATATCATCACCCACTGGGAGGAACAGCCTTCTCCGTTTTCCTTGGGATTTTGGGCACACATGCACGCATACCTGCATGGATTTCAAGCCACCAGGTCTGGGACTTGAACCATGTTTGACCATGTGGAAGTCCAGCACTTTAGCCACAACAACACCTGCTGGCCCCCGGGCAAGTATTTTTAATCCCCTCTTTGGCAGGATCATAGCATTGAAGACAGGGGCACCATCTTATAAAAATCAGGCCACTCTGGGGCATGCTTTGCCTTCTACTCCTGGTCTGGTCAGTAGATGAATTATCAGCTAAAGGAAATCCCCGCTACAAAATGTGGTAGGAGTCGGGGTGAGAGTGAGTCTAAGACTCTGGATACTGTGCTCGATGCCCCCTCTCATGGGATGAACACGGGAAAAGGAAAAACATGAATATATACATCGCTTGCAAATACAGGAACAAATCAGCTTTTAAATAATGGTGCATTGCAATCATTTACGATGACAAGATTCTGAGACTAGTAGAAGGAAATTATTTGAGTGGCCATTAGGAAAAAATATAACCATAGAAGCTTTAAGGATGTGACTGACATACATTCTGCAATGAATTTAAACCTCGTTTCCATTAGAATAACTTCCTAAGGGCTTTTGTTTGATGAGAATGTCTAAAGGATGTTTGTCTTTGCTGAGAGAATGTGGTGGGTCACTGGTCCTCACAATCGAGTCCCGTTACAGGTAACACTGTTGGTTTCTCTGGGTTGTTTTCCACCGGAAGTAAAATTAGACCAGGTTCTCCTGTTCCTTTGTTTATTTAAATAGAGTACTACTTGGGTCAGATCATGGAGGAGGACTTCGGGACATCGGTCATATTTGTATATGCTATTTCGTTTTCTATAATAAAAAAGGAGCAAGGGGAATTATTCTAATGTTTTTAGTCACATTTACTCTTTGATATAATGAAGTGAGTGAAAAAGAATCTCAAACAGAAGTATTTTATGTCTTTTCTCAAGCAAGTATTATTTTATTTATGTGCCTTTGATTTTAGCTCTAATCTTGATTTAGTGGAAGATTTCAAGCACAGTTGGATAGAATAGCACTTTGCATGTTTGACACAGTGTCCAATATAATGTGTAACTGCATAATAAATTACTTGGGACGTTAATATTAAAAACTGATAACGATATGTTTGCCTTTTGAAATGCAGAAAGGGGTATAGGTAGGCATAGATAGAGGGATTCTTTTATTAATTTTAATTGAATTTTATTTATTATTAGTATTATAATTCTTAATTTTCTAAAGGGCTTGCATGCTCACTGGAGAAAGAAAGTGAGAAAGCAAGCTGCCAGGTCTGGGGCTCAAACCATGGTTGACCATGTGGGAGTCTAGTGCCCTAACCACCATACCATCTGCTGTCCCCCAGGGTTGTTATTTCTTAACAACCATGAATCAATCAGTTTAGACATACACATTTGTGGTTTATCAGTATTAATCTAAAGATCTATATATTGGATTATCACTATAGTACTATAGTCAAGACTGATGAAGAATTTACTATTTTTATTGTTCTGGGTATTACAATGGTCATAGAACCATTGTAATAATACCATTTTATACTCGTGTGTGTGTGTGTGTGTAAAGTTAGGTAGACCCTGACAGTTTATAAAGGTTTATGAATGAGAATCAAATGAAGAACGCCTTTGAGTTTTGTTTGTTTGTTTGACCACAGTGAAATCAGAAATCAAGTGCTAATATAATATCTTCAGAATTTATACGGAATACTTTGTGATTTCATAATGACTTCCAGGATTCTCTGTGGTTTTTACATCCCCGTATTATTTAAAGGAAGTTTTGTATGTCATTCTAATGTATTGGCTCACTTTATTAAGAGATTGGTCATTTTTTCAAATCTCTTTATGGTCTGAAAATGGAATGTGTAGCAGGATTCTCAGGTACTGACGTTTATGTAGAGCCGGGATCCCAATGTGTATAGAGGCCAGAAAATTACTTGGGTACCAGTAGGGGGTCTTGAGTATTACCCAATAGAGAATGGTGGACATGAGCAAATTAAACAGTGTAGGCCAGAAGGCGGGTGAGTTTGTGATCCTTTGAGAATTTAGTATCACTTTTCCATGTCTTACGATTCTCAAAAAGAAGATAAAAATACGTATGGTGTAATTTCTTGATTTTTTATGACCCGAGTGGGCCAGATCTACCCCTGCTGTGAGCTGCATGTGCCCCAAAGACGTCCATTGTTCGCATCCTATCTAAGTCATGGGGATGCCTTCCACTTCACAGTCATGGGATCCAATGTATTCTGAGTAGGAAACTAATTATCTTAACAGAAGTTTCAAAATCAAATAAAAATCAGCTTTGGAGAGGTTTAAGTTTTCTTCTTTAAGTGTGAAAAATATAATAACCTTCCAGCCTTCTAGTTTAAGCCATGTCCATGTACATTTTAGCTGAAGGGAGAGGGAGGGAAGTGAAAATCCTATTTCATTTGGCTTGTCTTTTGTCATTGATTGGTCTACAGTTGGACACCGAATTTCCTCTTCAACATTTCTATCTTGGTATGAGATTTCCTGTCGTGATTCAGAGCTTTGTGGTCAGTTTTATCTGATCATTCGTCTGTCTGATATCCTTGATAGGTTTTTCTAACGTTTTAAGCAGAAAATGTAAGTGCTATTTGTGGGACGCAAGCTGGTCGGCTGTGAAGGGTCTCTTGTGATTTCTCAAGTTGTTTTCACGTTCAACGGATACTGGCTTCTAGAACAGAAGTCTGGGAACACACGATGAATGTTATAGCTCTGAACGCGGGTTTCCTTCCTTTCCAAGGCTGTCTTCGGGGACAGAGAGAAAAGATGAATGAAAATGGAGAAGAGATGAGGAAGGCTGAACAGGAGGTTAATTGTATTAATTTCAGACTCGATTCAGCTCGAAGACAGTATAATAATCTATAAAAAATAGAATGCCGACAAGGAGCCAAACCAATCCATTTTTCTTCTTCAGAGCACAATATGTTATAGTAATCAGGAGTTCATAAGTTGCTCTGAAAAACAGCTCAGAAAAAGACATTGCACCAAACCTCCTTAGAATCGGAAACTGCGGGGAAATTCTTTTTCCCTGTTGCACCTAGATATTTTTTTCCATGTGTTGAGTTTCATTTGGGCTGCTCAGTGGAGAACATGGGAATTGTACTGGGCTTCTTGAACACATGGTGGATGGCGGGGGTCAAGAGGTAGCTGAATTATTTTAAATACTCGGGAGCCAGGGGTAAGTTGTACTCCGTAGGATGGTCCCCTCCTTGTGTCTGTGAACACAGAGAACCATCCCGTTTTCCCTCATTTATCCCGAGTTACCTGCTAAGGAGGATTAAGTGGTGGATGGGAGTGAAGTGCGTAAAGGGAGTGACAAACATTCCCAGTATCTTCCGACACAGGCCTCTCTCTTCCCTCACCAGGACACTTCAGTTCCTCCCTTTCATCAGTAACACGGATAATCTCCAGGTGAAAGACCGATGAGAACTCTTAGTACCTCGAAGCACACGCATGTTTTTTGAGATATTTACAGCAGCTGTGAACATAACTCAGCACACGGATGTGCCCGCCAAGGACTCAACATGAAGTCCTCAATCTTACTGTTCCTTTGTCCTGCCCAGATACACAAGCATAATGGCTCTTTCTCTTACAATATGTGAATGTGTCTATTTAATTATTCAAAAGACGCGCATGACCATACGACAGATCTGTGGAAATTTTAAGTAATTTTACTGCCTCGTCACCTTGTGTCTAGACAAATGCATTTGGCACTTGCTGATGGTAAGTAATACCTGTTTATTAAGCTGATTTTCAGACTGCTTACGAGAGCGCGTTCATAAATTAGCTTTAGTGCCTTCGAATTTAAGCTTAAACAGGGATTAGGCATCCATAAATTGAATCGATGATCATGAACTATGAGAGAAGAAAAATGTTTTTTAATGCATTTCTGGCTCGCCACCCCTCCCTTTCCTTCAACCCCAAGAGCCTGCTTTACTGTAAGGAAGGACATATTTAAAGTTAGCCTCTCTGGTGCCAGAAACTTCTACTTTACGTCTTGGCTGACCAGTGAGGATAATCAGCACCTTGTCTCTCTTAAAACTGACAGGGTTTATTTTTTAAGTGTTGAAAGAGAAGTATACAGAGCTTACAGGTTGAGCAGTCTCAATTCCCTGGCCTGGGCGAAGGTTTTGAAACTTAAGTTGTTTTCAGTTGTCAGGGTGATGCACTGTGGCCAGTTAAATGAATCAGCTACTTGAGTCACTGGTGTTTTCTAGCTAAGCCATAACAATTTAGAGTGGATATTCTAATATTTAAAAATCACCAGCCCAGTGGTGTGGTGGTTAAGGCAGCTGGATCTCACATGGCTGACTGTACAGTTCTAGTCCTGGACCTGGAGGTTTGAAAAATGTGCCGGGTGTATGGGTGTGTGTGCATGCATGCCCCAAATCCTGAGAGAGGAATGGACAAGAAAGAATTTTATTCTCTCTCTTTCCTGCTCTCTTTCTGGCAAGTGTGCATGCTTTCTAGTAAATTTTTCAGAAAATCAACATGGAGGCCTGCAGGCGGCGTGGTGGTTAAGGTGATAGACTCCCGCATTGCCGATCACGCAATTTTTCAGAAAATCAACATGGAGGCCTGCAAGTGGCGTGGTGGTTAAGGTGATAGACTCCCTCATTGCCGATCATGCTTCGAGTCCTGGACCTGGCGACTTGCTTTCTCACTTTCCCTCACTCTGGTGAATTTGAAAATGATAATACTAATAATAATGATACTAATAAATACAATTAAATAATTCTTTTAAAAAACATTATTCACAGCAATGTTCACTTTCTGTAGTTTTATGTTACCACTACCAAAACAGTTTGGTAAGTCTATCTACTATTTTAATGTAGTGAAAAGACTTTTAAGATATTTAAATACTCAGGAAATTAACCCAATTCTAAGTTTTAAATGAACTCTGCCTAAACTTAGACAAGTGAAATGACCTTCTGGTTTCTTCTGTACTTTCATTTGGAAAACTATGATTTTCATGCCTCCTGCCACCATGTGAAACTGTGCCCCCCTTCAGTGCCCCCTCCAAAGAGCAGTAAGTGCCCTTGTCTCTTGGGGCTCTGTAGGAAACGCAGTCGTCTTTGGGTGGGCTCCAGTCACATAAAATCACCTCTAGTGTCTTGGAAATGCTGGGCAGGAGACCCTCAGGCACGGGGACAGTAGCCAGCAGTGAAGCAATGCCCATCCTGAACTTAGGTGCTTCTGGAACCCTTGGCCTCTCACAGATTTACTTCTAGATTGTCAGAATCAGAAGTTAGAGGATTGCCAAATAAATTGAAAGGTGGTTTCTCTTGCAAATTTGAGTAAAATATGCCTGTTATATTCAAGCCACCCGCCTCTGTAGGAGAGGGAGCGAGCGCTTCTGTGGTGGTGATGCTGGGCTCTTCGGGATCTTAGGTGTTTGCCCGTCAGCGGCGTGTTTCCAGGCAAGTGATTGCCAGAGGTTGGTATTAATACACCCAGAGTTACAACTCTCTGGTTTCTCCTTTCCTCCTCCTCAACTCTTCTCCTCAGCAGCCCACCCCTGTCGCCTTGTTAAATAAGCATGTAGGCCATCCGGGAGAGCCCAGAGGAATGAGCGGTTTGGAAAATGAAGACTAGAACCGGCGACTGTTTACCCAGAGGGAGCCACTGTCCCCATTGCACAGGGCCTCGGGGTCTTGGTGACCATTATCCCCAGTTTACAGATGAACAAGTGGGATCACCCATGGTTCTTCCAAAAGGGCACAGACTCAGTCCTAGCCCCGAGCCCATGTCTTTCACTAGCCCTGCGTCCTCCCAACTGCCCACCTTATCGCTTATCTCCCGGAATTATGCTACGTTCCGCAACATTAACTTCGTCTTTCTGTCCTTTGTTTTTGCAGTGACAGTGTGATAAGCAGGCCCTGCTCTTTTCCAAGGGCAGAATGTTTAAGACACAGTGTTCTTATTTTAGAGAGCGTTTGTGAGGGATCTCTGCAGCTGATATATGGAATGCTATCTTTATATTCGCCTTAAGTAAGAAACGGGGTAGAATGTACTTTCCTTCCTTTCCACTTAAATACAAGATTACACTTGTATTGAAAGAGATACCAGGGCAGATGGCAGCTTAAAATAGTTTTACAAACACATTCTTGAATTGAAATGGTAGCAGTCTTCATCCAAACCAGATTTTCCAAGGACACAATAGAAATGGAACAGAACGCTGATACTTCCATAGGTGTTCAGCCCTCCAACCGGCTTCCTCTCTCCTGCTGACCTCTTAGTGATGGACAGTTCATCATTTAGGTGAGGAACTGACTCCTGCTCTGCAAGTCGTGTTTTCATGAGCTCCTTTCTTTTCACTTTTTTCCCCTGACAGTTGTTACTGTTTGAAATCTTTCATTGAATTAGGAAAGCATCACTCAAGTTGGAATACATTAAAACTGGGAACCAGCAGTTAGCGTAATGGCTATGTCGCTGGACTCCCACGTAGTTGACTGCGGTTCATGTCCTGGACCCAGCGGCTTAAAACTCACGCCAGGTGCGTGTGCGTGTGTGCCCAAGATCCCGAGAGGAGAATGGAGGAGAAGGGATTGCGGCATGACCATCCCCCCGGGGAGGTGATTTCTCGCTTTCTGTCTCTATGTCTCTGTCTGTCTGGTGAGCGCACATGCCCTATAGCAAAAACC